TATATTTTTGCAAATATTTTCTCTCAGTTTGTGGCTTATCTTTTTATTTAATGGAGTCTTTTGAAGAGCAAAATGAAGTCTAATTAGATGACATCCAATTTATCGTTTTTTACTTTTATGTCTTGTGATTTTAGTGTCCTAACAAATTTTTGCCTACCCAGTGGTTCTCAACCAGGAGCAGTTTTGCCCCCCAGGGGATTTGGCAATGTCTGGAGACGTATTTGGTTGTCACAACAGAGAAAGGGATTACCACTGGAGTCAAACAGGTAGAGGCCAAGGATACTGCGAAACCACATGCAATGAGCACAATAGCCCCACAACAAACCCGGAAGGCCAGGAGTGCTGAGAGCTAGTCACCTTGACCTATGCAAGGCCATGAAGATTTTCTCCTTGTTTTTGTCTACTTGTTTGATAATTTTAGCTCTTATATTTAGGTCTATGATCTACTTTGAGTTAATTTTTGTGAGGTAGGAGTCCAAATTCAATATTTTGCATATAGATATGAAGTTTATCTTGGCACCATTTGTTGAAAAGACCACTGGGTATCTGGCCCCTCTGAATTATCCATCTCCTTTATTGAAAAATCCTATTGACCATTAATGTTAGATTCGAGTCTTCTTTTGATTGGCATTTTCATGGTACATCTTTTCCTATAATTTTAACTTATTATATATGAAGTAAGGTTTTTGTAGGCAGCATACACTTGGGTTATATTTTTTTGTCCATTCTGACATTTGATATGTTTAGATCATTTACATTTAGCCTAATTTATGGATATGTTTGGATTTAAGTTTACCATTTTGTTATTTGTTGCTTCTCTCTTTTTTCTCCCTGTTTTCCCTTTGCTGCCTTCTCTTGGACTATTTGAACATGTTTTAGTATTCCATTTTAATTTATCTATTGCATATTTGACTATATCTTTTTGTGTAGTTTTTTTAGTGGTTAATCTAGGGATTATAATATACATACCAACTTCTCAGAATCCATGTAGCATCAATAGTTTACCACTTAAGCTGGAATGTAGAAATATTACTACCATATAAGCTTCCTTTATCCTTCTCCCTTTATAGTTGAGTTGCTTTATGTATTTAATCTACATACTTTGAAAAAACCCTCAGTTACTTTTGCTTTCAACCTTAAAACATTTTTTTTTTAAGACAGAATCTCACTCCGTTGCCCAGGCTGGAGTGCAGTGGCCTGATCTCGGCTCATTGCAACGTCCGCCTCCTGAATTCAAGCAATTCTCTTGCCTCAGCCTCCCGAGTAGCTGGGATTACAGGCACATGCCATAATGCCCAGCTATTTTTGTATTTTTAGTAGAGACACATTTTTGCCATGTTGGCCAGGCTGGTCTCAAACTCCTGATCTCAAGTGATCTTCCTGCCTCAGCCTCCCAAAGTGCTGGGATTACAGGCATAAGCCACTGCTCCTGACCCTTAAAACATATTTTAAAGAACTGAAGAGGATAGCCTACTATTTATACTGAAAGTTTGCTCTTCATTCATTCTTAATATTCCCAGTTTCCTTCTGGTATCATTGTCCTTCTCTCTGAAGAACTTCCTTTAGCAATTCTTTTAGAACACATTTTCTGGCAATGAATTCTCTCAGTTTTATTTAATTGGCAATGTCTTTAGTTGACTTTCATTCTTGAATTATAATTTCTGCTGGATATAGAATTCTAATTTGGCAAGTTTTTTTTCTCTTAGCAGTTAAAAGACGTGCCATTTTCTTCTGTCCTCTATGGTTTCTGATGAGAAATTGGCTGTCATTTGACTTGCAGTTCCCCTATAAATGGTTTTCCCTGGATGCTTTTAAGATTTTTTTCTTTTTCTTTAATTTTCAGTGATTTAGTTATGGTAGGTCTTGGAGTTCATTTCTTTGGGTTTGGGTTTGTTTTATTTTAGGTACCCTGAGCTTTTTGAATGTATAGGTTTAAAACTTTTTGGCAAATTAGGAATACTTTCATCCATTATTTCTTTAAATATGTTTTGCATCATCACTTTTCTCTTCTCCTTTGGTATTCTAATAACATAAATGTTAAAGCTTTTGGTATCGCCCACAAGTTGTTGGGCTCTGTTTATTTTTTAAATGTTTTTTGAAATAAGCTTAATCAATCTTGTATGTTGTTCAGCATGGATAATTTCTATTGATCTACCTTCGAGTTTACTGACTTTCCTCTCTCGTTTACATTCTGCTATTTAGCCCACCTGATACATTTTTATTTTATATTTTGTAGGTAAATTTTAGTTCTAAAATTTCCATTTGGTTTTTCTATTTCAGTTTCTCACATGGATATTTATCTTTCCGAAGATGCTCTCAATATTTGGTCTGTTTATTTGCCTGCCCTTTGTCGTAAAAAGTCAAGAGCAAAATGAACAAAATAAAAACCTTATTACTTGAAAGTTTGTTGCCCTTAGGATTCCAGATAAATGACAGCACTGTATTTATATTAGAATGGTTGCTCAACTAACTTTTCTCAGTTTGTACTTGGAAAAAGAGCTAAAGATGGGATCCAATACCTGCCATGAATCTTGGTTCTGCTAATTACTAGCAGTTAATTCTGACAAATCTCTGTACTTCTCTGGGAAACATTTTCATGAGGGTTGAATTGTTCTCTGAGGTGCCTTTTTGCTCTAACATTTTAGGATTCTGTGGTCTATGGGGCATGGAAAGCAGCCTCCACCTTTGTCCACTGGGTATTTTCCATCTGCCCTTTTGGTCTTAGGACAATGATGGAGACTTTTATGATATTAGGGTGAGCTTAGAACCTTAGAATTCTTAGAGAACAAGATCATGGGCAGGTGGATGTTAACATCTCTTCTCTAAACTAAGAATGACGTCACCAACCTCCTTCTGTTAAACAGGCCAACAAACTTTAACGTCTGTGTTGCAGCTTCCTGAGGTCTGCCTGGCCTCTCTGCTGTAGCCTTGGCAGGCTCCGTCTGGCTTGCCATGAGATGCCGTGCCTCACCACTAGTGTTTTCTTTCCTTTCACAGCTACTTCAGCTCTCAGCTGCTGCTGTGGACAAAGGATGCAGCGTGGGCGAGGTTCTGCAGTCGGTGCTGCGCTATGAGAAGGAGCGCCAGCTGAATGAGGCGGTGGGGAATGTCACACCCCTGCAGCTGCTGGACTGGCTGATGGTGAACCTGTGATCGGCAACCCCACTGCTTTCCCCTCTTCCGGCAGTGGGCCCGGCCCTTATCCCCGCCCTTCATTCTCACTTCCACACCTCCCCCTCTATATCCTCACAGAGCCCTAACATTATCTTCATACCACTCTCATCAAAGACATGTCATCTTATGCTAGTCACTGAATTTTGCAGATTTTCCTGTCCATGCGAGCAAGGACATAAAATTAAAAAATTACAATTAAAGGGCTCCACATGTTTTATTTCCTTGGGATCCAATGGTACAATCAGGTAAAGAAATCCCAGGAGTGAAAAAAATAACCAGATGAATGGTAAAGGTACAACAGAGCTGGACTGAGAGGCCCTGCTGAAGGTCACTCAGCCTGTCCCCTGTCCGTGTCACAATTTGCAGCTTCCATATTTAAACGATTCTCTTAAAATAAGCCACTGTTTATCAAGAATTCATTTTAACCTTTTATAACCATGAAAATCAGAAGATACTTTCTAATATTCAATCAAAATCATCCTGATTACAATGTTGAAGACTTGGCTTCTAAATCTCTGCAGAGCTACAGAACAAATGTCCACCTCCAACTTCATCCATAGTTGAAGATCGTGTCAAGAATGCTCCCAAGGATCTGAGTTCTATTGCTGGTTTTGTGGTTTTCTGGCTATAGAAACTGGGGTAAGTTACCTGTTCTAACACTGCTCTGACTTAATGTCCATATCGCCCTACTTAAGGAATATTTTCTATTCTTTTCCTGAATTTTCTGTGGAAATTTTCTGTTCTTGACTCTTCTTTCCATTTAGAAACTTCTCCATTGGCTTCTAATTTTCTTTCTATATCTCTGGGTCTCTTGGGGGACCTCCTCAACTCTGGCAACTCCTTATATATTTATCTTTCCTAGGATTTTCTCTCAACCCTCTGCTATTCTAACTCAAGATCTTCCCTGGGAGATTACATCGAAATCCATTGCTTCAATGATCTGGTGTCCCCCTTCATAAAATATTATGCAACTATTAAAATGAAAACTATATTGGGGGAGGTTATTCCAAATGCCAAGTAAAAAAATTATTTTTATATATTCTGTGTTTCTGATGTTATGATCTTAAGTTTCATGTAAAATTCTATCTGTCCTATGATAACCACATAAAAAATCATGTATTTGTGTAGATGAGGATTAGAAAGGGAAGTAAGAAGACATACTTAGAGGTGGCATATGATAGATGAGTGAACACGTCCTGCTTGTTTACCCAGCTTCCCTTCCTTTGGGAAACCTTCCATCCCTTGCTCTAGTCTAAAGAAGCATCAGTCACAGCGCCTTCACCATCACTGTGGGCTTGGGACCCAGACTGGCCAAGCACCCCGGTCTCCCAGTCACAATATCTGTGTCACCATCATTTTGGAGACTCCCTCTTAGCAACGAAGCCGGTATCTTTTGACTGGATATTGGTGGTTAACTTCTGAGCAGGGCCTGTCATCAGGATGAAGTTAACCATAGAGAGAAGCAAGGCTAATAGATGAAGAGGGAGTCTGAGCCCTACAATGTCATCTGAATTCCTGACTCCTGCTGTGACTGAAACTACATCTACCCATTCTGATTCCCCAGTTATATAAGTCAATAAATGTCTTTGGCTGTTTAAACTAATTCAGCTTCTATCATTTTCAAACAAAAATCTTGACATAGGTTGGCAGTCATGGGCAAGAAGAAAACAAATTTTCTTTTGTGTTAGAGTTCCCTTAATGATGCTACAACATTGAGAGTTAAAAACTACTTGCCCCCTATACACACACAAACACATACAGATGAATTTAAGTGCAAGGACATCCTTCCCCATCCCTCATAAGAGGAATCATGCCAATTGGCCATATTAATAGAGTTTTTTTTAAATAAACTTTTATGTATTTAAAAAAAACAGTCTGAAGTATTGTACAATATAAGTGCTGTCTTAATACAAATCACTGGTGGAAAGGAGCAGGACATACCCTCAGCAAAGGTCATACAATAGGGGGTAAAATGTTTGTGTTCTTGAGGGAGAAGTTTTTGCTCTGTCCCGGGGAGGTCATGGACACCTCCGCTCCAACAGGTGCCTCTGACTTCTTGGGAGCTTCTACCAGTTGAGGCAGCTGAACAGTGTCAGCTCTGTGCTGGAGAGAGTCCTGCTGATCCCCTGAAGGCTGAACATGCTTCGTGGAGCCATCTTTTGTTTTCTCTGTAGTCTCGTTGGTGATCTCATCTGCTAAAGGAGAGAGAAGACAGAAGGGAACAAGATTCAAGTGTGGATTATATGTTAATTGTCCTTTAGGTTGTACATCACTTAGCAGAAACCATGACTGTGACGATACAAAACCAGTTCATTTGCAAAGCACATTCAACGTTCCAGACATTATTCTAAGCACTGTACATTCACTAATTCATCTGATCATTTCAGCAACCCTGGAGAATAGGCATGATTCTCATTCTCATAAATGGAGATACTGAGCTACAGAGAGGTTAAGTCCACACCTGGTAAGTGATAGAACCAGAATTTAATCCCTAGGTAACCTGACTCTTATGACCATCTACCTAACCACTAGACTATATTGCATATAAAAATTTGCATAATGCCATAATCTGGCACTAACAGAAATTCTAAAGGTAATTATAGGGCATAAAGGGGTGGACGCATTTAATGAAAAGGGGAGGAGGAGAAAGGAAATCGATTATAGGAGAAAGGAAATTGATTATAGGAGAAAAATGGAAAATCCTAACGAGGAGCAAAAAAGATCCAGGCTAATGCCAAATTTCCTGGAAAAGGAAAATCCCAAAGGTAAGAAATAGCAGGATAGTCATGACGTAGCCACAAGAATTACCCCAGGGTGAGGTTACAGAAATTGACATGCAAATCCTTCAGAAATGCTTGGCTTCCTGGACTGTGGGAATAGGACTGGTTGACAGGCTGTACCTTTTTTGCTCGAGTGATGACAGCCTTGAACCTTGTCCGTCCTTGTCTCAGAAGGGAAAAAGGAACTGGATTTCTTCAGGGTCTGGGGCCTGGGCTGTGGCTTGAGGTTCCGAGACTGATGAATCCAAGCATGCTTGAGGGCCTGGTCCGGGGTCATGCGAAGAGAAGGTTCCCATCTGCACCCCAACAAAGCCCCACATGGGTTATTATTTTACTTCCTTTTAATATATTGCAACATTTTTAAAACCCAGTAAAGATTTTTATTTAAGCTATGTTGTTATCTCAAAGATATATCATCACAGAACAGAGATTATGGCATATAACTCAAAAGTACCTGGAAACAACTATTGGAAATAATCTTTCTAGAAGATGTGTATAACAAGCCAGGGAATATATATTACAGTCCAAGTCTTCCAGCATTCCTAGAAATTTCCTTATAAGAAATATTATTTTACAAAAGCTTAATCAATAGGATTTAGGGTTTACTAACCTAACAATATTAAAAACGGAGATTTGAATTTCCAGACTACAGAACTGGGGCTTCAAAAATATAATTCTAGAATATTAAGATTTGCAAAGGGACTTGGATATAATCCAATCAAACTTGTAATTCAGTAGCAGAATACATTGACCGAATTACCATCATGGAATCACCCCGCAATTCTTGAGTAATTTCAGTGACAAGACATTAACTCACAGAACCATCTATTCCAATTTTGAAAAACTCTGATTCTTTAAAAGTTCTTGATTTTTATTGTGCCAAAACTGGCTTGCTTCCCAGTAACTTTTACCTAGGTCCTAATTCATCAACCCATTACCATCATACAAAATAACTAATCCTTTTATGGTTCAGCCCTTCAACCATCTGAAAATATTTACATTGCTACTAACTGATAATCATATGATATGGTTTTCACCATCTGGCCACCTTCTGAAATAAGGATATTTTAGCAGTTGTCTAACTGGTGTCCATCATGGTGGGAATAGCTTCTATAACTGCAGGGAAGATAGTATTAGCATTCTAGACTCATCAAGATCCTAAAACAGCTCAAATTGTCATTTCTGTGTCAAATGAACTGCTGTTAAACAACATCTCTCCTTTCCTGGACTTTTGGAGTTAGCCTACAACGTCTAGACACAGGGCTTTACATTTATGCCTATTGAACTTGGCTCAAAACTTGTAGTCTCTCATTCCAAAGATTTGCTGATTAGCAATATATATATAAGGTAACAGTCCCCATCAGCCCGACTGCCTCTTGCAAGTTATGAGTAATCCGTCCTTTGCACTAAAGAGAAAATAATGTCTTCCTTGGTGCTAAGCTGTGTTCTGGATGGTCGAGGTTTCTAGATAACCCACCTGTCTCAGCAGTTGGTTTCTGTGATTTGTTAAGGTAGGGGTAAAGATGGGGTACAGGATCCTTCTCTACCTTGATTATTCTGATGAGCGAATAGCATGACCCCCTACGATGGGAATACTTTCATCACTACCTCATGGTTCACCCTCTGAGCTAGTACCGAAATTCCAGAGTGCACAGATGCCAGAAGAGCATTTTGATAACACTACTCCATCCATCTGGAAGAATAAGAGACTGTAATGATATGGTCTTCTAAAAATGCTAAACTATAGGACTGATGAAACTGGAAGGGAGCTTAGAAATACACTATTGTATAGGAAAGAACACTGAGGCCCAGACAAAAGTGATGACTTGCCAAGTATCACACGGATAATCTACTCGCCACTCTGTGGAGTTAGATTTACCTCTTTAATAGTCGTGAAATAATAAGAATAGCTAACGTTTTCTAAACACCTTTTAAACTGGGCACTGTGCTGGGTACTATGACTTAAGTGCAGACCTAATTTCTAAGATTCAAAATATGCATATAGATTGTAAAAAGTTGTACATAATAAATGGTTTACAGCTCACCCTTCCCCTAATTCCCTAATATAAGAGGATTTGGGTACTAAATCATAGGAGGATGAGGACAGGCCCTGAAACCAGTTTAAACTGGATGTGTATGCAAATCATTACAACAAGCACTCAGCAGGTTGGCTTCAGCTCACAGAGCAGAAGAAATTTAGGACTGGCCTACAATCTCACTGTCAGGTAGTTTGAGGCCAGGAAGATGACAAACTCTACCATACACTGTGTATTCCAGGGCAGGTCTCTTAATCTCTTTGAATCCCAACCTCCATACGTGTAAAACAGAGCAATTCATCCGCCCTGACAACCACACAGTAGGGAGAGAGAGATGTCTGATGAGACAACAGATGTGGAAGCAATTTGTAGACTTTAAAGCTCTATTGTTAGCATTTCTCGTTACTTTCATAACTATCTCCCAGCCTTAGACTTTCACCAGCGAACGTGTGTCAAAGTACAGCATTTTAGAGGAAACCCAGAGGCAGAGATATCCCAACAAACTCACACCAAACACCTTCTGAGAAAGTCCAGGAAGCCGGCGTCATAGGTTTTCAGCACCATCGTGAGGTCCTTGGAGTCTGGGTATCTTTTCTTCCCCCTGTTGTTGGTTATATTTTTAGGAAAACCTTTGGAATCTGTAGAGATACAACATTCTGTCTTTAGTTTCAGGTGTAAATATTTACTGGTCACATCATGCTGCTTCTTAGAGTGGCCTCTGTAGCTCTTTTGCTCTCTGTCTTACACACTCGCCTCATGCCACACCCCAATAAACACACATACACACACAGTTTGAAATAACCATGTGTAGATTACCCAAGGAATACAATTTACTTTAATAATTGATTTTTTCCTACTATTCAGTATGTTCTGAACTTCCTTCCCACTACCTCCTCTCCAAAGCAAAGAAATAATTTAAATGGTTTAACACCAAGATAAAATAATAATGCTACTGATAATAATAACAATGGTAAAGTAAATCTTAAGTGACAAGGTCCTGTGAAATTGTACAAAGATCCATTTCCTTTTGGATCATGGCCTTAGCCCTCCCACTTCATCCTACTTTGCCCTTTTTACCAATGACCAAAGAAGAATCAAGCTCACAGTCTTATAAATACATGATCATCCTAAAGTCATGATCATGTAAGTGTTTTCTTGTACAAGCTTTTCTCACTCTGGCCCTCATTAATCATTCCCTCCATTCCCTTCCTACTGCCTAAGCCACCTAGGCCACCTAAGTATATTATCTTACTAGCCTTGAGACAACACCATTTTGCTGCTAATTGTAGGTATTAACTAGGAGTTGCCAGGGGCTGAGGAGCTGTTGGCAGCCCAAACCTGGGAAAGGGAGTCAAGAACTGAAGTGAACAACAGTGTTTCCCAAATTCATCTTGTCATAAGAATCACAAGGAGCTGTCATTAAAAACGTCAAATCCTGGGTCCTATCTCAATCTTCCCATAGCTTATAGAAGAGAATCATAGGAATTAGCTTTTCTGCCAAGTCCCCACATGATTCTTACATTTGGATAGAGTTTGGAAAACACTGACGAAGATGCAGTTCTCAGCAACATTCCTTCTTTCACAGGAAGTGAAGACATGGATGTTGCTGCCAAAATCCCGTCACCATCCTAAAGCCTAGTGCTAGCGGTTGAAATAAGGAACTCTATGAAGTGGGCGTGCCTATGTCTTGAGCACGTTCCTATGAAGGTGCTCTATGTTCCCCTCCTGCTAGTCCTCACCTAGATGCTATCTCATGAGTTCAGTGTTCCAGGCTCAAGATGTGTCTTCCCACAATGACTCTGCCTAATCTGAAAGGCTGAATTATTAAGTTGTGGGTAGAAAAAGTATATTTGGGATCCAAAGACCAGTTCCCTTGGTCCATGTGTAAGTTATACTGGGGAGCCAGCCAGATCCTCTGTCTACCGCCAGATTGCTCGGTTAATGTGTGGGCACCATTCTATGGCAAACCAGGACACTGCCCTGCTCAGAGGCAAGGTCTCCAAAGCTCCAGCCATGATACAAGGTGATGTTTAAAAGAATTAACCATTGGAATCAATGGCATGGAACCGACTAATCAGAATGGAAGACAGCCCTGGCACTGGAGTAGGATCATAGAGCACCTCTGCTTGCTTGGCCTTCAGCTTTTAGGTTTTGGATCATGGAGAGTTTAAGGAGTCCTGGGAGAGGGCCAGGGAGCCTGCCGTTGTGGCAGGGCTCTGTACCATGTGACTTTTTACCAAATGGTACAGAAAAAGACAAATTACACCCCCCACATGGCTGAATCAGTTCATACTGGCCAGCATGACCCAAATCCTTTTATCCTAAAGGATCTCCCCACAAGGGTGTTCTGGACCTTCCTACTGATCGGGCAAGTAGGGAACAGAAATTTGCATACACATTCAGAGGTTACTCGCAGTTGAAAATCAGAGGTGGGAGGACCAGGAATGTCTGGGATTGTATAGTCAAAGGGAGTCCATGAACTGACCTGATAACAATGGCTGATGAGAAATGTCACTCCAGGTAGCATGGAGTCCCTTTGGCTTTGCTCCACTTTGCTGACCTTCAGGCCACTCTGGCTGTTTCTATCTGGGACTCTGAGCTTCCTGTGGTTCTTTAAAGGGATTTTAGGTCTGGGACTTGCTGCATCTTTTTGGTGCATGTGCATTGAAAGCCCTGCCTCAGTTGATGCCTTGTGGACCCATCCTTCCATCTTGTATAGGACCACTTAAATAGAAAGGCAGAGGATCATAAAAATCCAGAATTCTGGAAATTATGAGGAGAGGGGCAGCCAGGACTGTGGACGAAGTTTACCCCCAACAATCAGACAGATGACACATACATAACTACGAGCCACAACGCATCAAAGCAAAACTAAGTCCTTGCTTAACCATTGCAATGAACCTGGCACAGTAAGGTCTGGAGGATAAGAAGAATTCTAGCAGGGGAAACAATACTGCAGTGATGGAATTTTCCACTATTCTGGAAATGAGGCTTCTGCTCTTTGATTTCCCTGTACAGTGCATAGTGTGAGAGGGCAAGTTGCTTGGGAGAGTGGGGAGAACTTCCAGGAGAGGATGCAGTTACAATATTTCAAGGTTGCAGTATCTGCTGATAGCTCTTCTGAGCAGGGACCTGGCCATTCTCCTCCTCCTGAACATTTTTACTGTCAAGACCCCATTCGCACTGTGACTCCCTCATCCCATCTCCATCATGCTATCCAGTTTCCCTGCTCATTATCTTTTACTTCTCTGAAAGAAGCTCTTAATCACAGCCCTTTGGTATGTGGCCAGGGGAAAAGAATGAAATGAGCCTTAAGGTATGGTAGGTGTCTTCAAGGTCTGTGATACCTCATTAGACACACTAGACACACTTACCAAAGAATGTCTGTCTCCTGGAGGCCATCTGAATGAAGCCGGCTGGCGGCAGACCCAGCACCTTAATAAGGATAATTCAATTGGTTCACTCTTTGTGGGATCACAGATTCAAAGGCTGAGGGGTGGGGCGTACTTTGGCCAAGCTTTGCCTTCTACAGATAAAGATCCAAAGCATTAAGTAATAACATCAGGTCAGTAGCAGAGCAAACCCAGAGCCTGGACCTTTTAACTCCTAATCCAGGGCTGGTTTCATATCCTAAGAATCAACACTGACCATGTTATTCTACACAAACATCAGCACCAACTAGGGGTGAGCCATCACTGTTGATAGCAGCCAGATGTCATTGTCAAAGTAAATAAACTAGTATACATGCTGCCATGTCGGAATTAAAGAATGATTTTTCCCACCATGGAGCACTGGAAAGGGAGAACAAAAGAAGATGAAAATCACCGGATGAGCATCAGACAATTACAAAACAAAATACCTTCTTGAAAAGAAAAGTGTAGCACCTACTTGTTCATCTTTTCCTACTGCAACTTGGAGGGGCACACAGAGATAAGGAAATCACAGTGTGGGTCACCTACCCTTGCTGCTCGGTTCCCAGTCATAATCCATGCATTATCCTGCTCTTCTGTTCCTCAGACCCTTTGACACTGAGGTCAAGAGGAAGCTGAGTCAGTTCTGGGGCTGTAAGAAAGTTGAAACATAGGCCCCGTTCTCTTTGGTAATGGAAGCAGAGCGGCCTGGGAATGCTTTATAAAATCATTCATTATCAACCTTAGAAGCCATCTACTCTGCTCCCCTCATTTTATAGTCCAGAGCCGGGAAATGACTAGGCAAAAAGACAGAGCCAGGACTAAGACCCCAGGTTTAATGACTCGCAGGTCAGTTTTCATTCCACCGCAGCTATTTTTACCTAAGTTATTTTAATATTTTATTATTAGTTTCAATCATGAAATGAAATTATCTATGTTTAGTCATTCTCAAGGCTATGTGTGTTTCTCTATCTGTAACTCTGAGACAATCTGGAAAACAGAAATTTGGCAAAGATACAGATAGATAGATAGATAGATAGATAGATAGATAGATAGATAGATAGACAGACAGACAGACAGACAGATAGACAGATAGCCAGCCAGCCAACCAGCCAGCTAGCTTGGTGTTTGCACACAAAATATCTTTGTTCACTGGGAAAACCCTAAAATGTAAAATTTTAAATTTTTAAGGTTATTTTTCTATTTTGTCTAATTTAGTTCCATAACAAGATGACTTTCAAGTGAAAGCATAATAGATATAATTAATAATCATATAATGAGTTTTGGTAAAGCCTTGCTATAGGGAGATAGTTTTCCCAGAAAACTGTCATTTCCCATAATGAATGCCTCATGCCTGAACAATACACATATTTTGAAGTCAAATAACTTCCAATTCTTGTTTTCAACATTTTAATCGGGGTGTCAGCTGACAGGTTGGTAAACGTAATTTTAGACGACAGATCACCATTCGAGGCTTACATAGAACTCAAAAGGAGTCCCCGAATTAGATGGCATTAATTAGAACAGGCTTCCTCACTGGGTTAACATCTACACCACCAAGCAATTGGAATCCCATTAATCCTGAGCCCCGGCATTCTAGCAAGAAGCGTTATTCGCCTATGGGTATAGGCGTTAACTGGAAAAAGAAAACCCAGCTCTATTCATTTTTCTAAGAGCTGTACACCCAATAAGATTTCACATTTTATTTTCAATCATTATCAAAATTTGCACACCAGATATAGTTTAATGCTAACTTACCAAAAAGAAATTTTTACACGCGAAGTTTATGGTATCAGGAAATGTTTAAAGCTATAATGATTGCCAGAAGTTTCTAAACATAAACGTATATTAAATTAGAATAAAATTCCGTGGAGGAAGTAGAAGAGTAGAAACAAAAAGCAGAAAAGAACAAAGTAAAATAAATGCACAACTCTTGAGAACTTGTTCACATACTTTCAGATAGATTTTAATGGGTGTCATGTCAGTCTGGTTTTGCATTCTTTTGGATATTTTTGAAAGAGTGGTGTAACAGTTTTATCTTAAAACGTCACTATTTACAATATGATGGAAATGACATCCTCTGCAACTATTTAAAGTTATGATAAAAATGTTAGATGTCGACTTGACAAGTACAAGGGAGTACACAATGTCAAAACTACTTTTAGGAAGTACCCACAACACAAAGGATGCAGGCCATGGTCCTGGGAGAGTCTGATGCAGCCCAGTGTGTGAGGGCCAAGCCCATGGTCTCCGTGGGAGCTGACCGCCAGCCCTCCCCGTACCTCCATGATGCAGGCCAGCTGCTCCACCTCATTCTCCCCGGGGAACAGGGGGTAGCCCGTGTACAACTCTGCCATGATGCAGCCCAGGCTCCACATGTCAATGGCCATGTCGTACGGGTGGCCCAGGATCACTTCTGGGGATCGGTAGAACCGGCTTTGGATGTACGTGTATACTGCGGAGGCAAAGTGAGAAAAACCTCGTGGGAAAAACTTCCTACTATCCAGAACGTTCTCCCCCAGGGCACCTTCTCAGTTAGACTGCGCTCCCACTGGCGGGGAAAGGGAAGTCCAGCTGGCCAGCACTCAGAACTCTCATTACACATAACAGCATATCCACACAGCAACCTGACTCTAAAGGAGGTGTTATTGTCCCTGCTTTATTGATAACAAACTCCAACGTAAGCATTGTTGTAGGAAAGTGAATTTCAGTCAGCCAAGTTTATGACAAACAAACAAAACATAAGACTAAGTTTTCAAACTGTCAGATTAATTTGGGGTAGACGGCTTCTGAGTCTTGTGACTTGGCAAGGGAAGAGGCATATCAAGTTAGAAAGGGAGCATGCAAAGTGTATATTCAATATAGTATGTGCACTTGTTGTAGAGAAAGAAAAATCTCAACAGATGAGGATGAACAGACTGAAGTCGAAGAAATGGAACACGGTAGTTATTTCCACATAACTGGGGTTGCTGGTTACCTGGGGAGGAGCAGAGATTCCGTAACCACTTTTCTGTTGTTTAAATTGATTATTGTCAGAACATAATTCTGTGATTTAAAACAAAATAGAGATTTAATAAAAATAATGTTTATATTCTGCCTGCTTCCCAAATGTATTTGTGGTACTTAGCAAAGTACATATGCACAGAGTATTTTAGAACACGGATTTAATGGTATTTAGTACATTATGTTTAGTATGTGCCAGGCACAATTCCAAGTACTTTTATAGATAAGCCCTTTCAACTCTTACATTAATTCTGTGAAGCAAGTAGTATTATTGCCTCCAATTTAAAGAAGAGAAAACTGAGGCATACAGAGGTTAAAATGTCAAGGTTACTCAGCTATAAGTGACAGAGCTGGGATTTGACAGTAGGCAGTCCAGTTCTAGTATCAATACTAGATACTGCCTCACAGTTAAAATAAAGATAAAAAAAGAAGTCAGAAAATATGCAAAGGGGGAAATGACTGCTAGAAATCAAGGATAAAATAATTACAAATTCAGTTCTGAGCATCTTGGCAGCCAAGATAAATGACAAGTGATAAGTTACACAACTTTCAACATCTGAGAAGAGAAAACATACAAGTTCTTTGTAGGAGGCATTATTTTTTAGCTGTAATTTCTTATAGGATTCATACATAAGAGACATAAAGGTCTTATGTCCTCAAAAATTGATCTGCTAGAGAGAGGCCTGGATGGAGGACACAGTGGCATGCTGTTGCCGTGGCAGTGTGGTCCTGGCTGCTGCCGAGGCAAGTGCCAGGGTCTCCCTTGACTCAATGTGAAGAGCTTAGAAAGAGGAGGAGAGGAGAACTCCCCTGGCCATCTCTGTGGCCCCAGCCACCACATTTTACACAGCCAGGAGGGAGATAGAGGGAGAGAAGGGAAGGACGATGCAGAGTGGAAATATTAATGGTGGGAGAGAGGAAAATGAATGAAAATAAAGATACTGATTCAAAAGAAAGTGAAAAGAATACAAAGGTGACTCTGAAAAGGACCTGGAGTGGTTAACTAATGAAAATGAAAAAAGTAATGCCAGCATAATAGAGATGGCTTGTGAGAAGGAAGAGAATATTAACCAAGACTTCAAAGAGAATGAAACAGTAATAGAACACACCAAACAGCTTTCTGATCCTGACAAATCTTTGCAGGCTGAGGTCCCACCGAGAAGAAATGACTTGATTTCTGTTCCAAGCATTCAACCTTTGGATCCCATATCAGATTCAGATAGTGAAAACTCTTTCCAGGAATCCAAACTAGAAAGCAGAAAGACTTGGAGGAGGAAGAGGATGAGGAAATAAGGAGATATATTATGGAGAAAGTTGTACAAGCTAACAAGCTTCTACAGAATCAAGAACCTGTGAATGATAAGAGGGAGCAAAAACTTAAGCTCAAGGACAAATTAGTTGAGCTGGAAGTTCCTCCACTAAAAGATACTAATACTTACAAAAATTATTTTGAAAATGAAAGGATTATGTTGGGAAACGGTCACAGTTATGTATTTCCAATGATTTGGGACATGTAAATATGCTCCTGTCACTAATGGAAGCTGTGAAATAAACAAGGATAGGACAATACTGGTGGAGAGAGATAAAAAATTTGAACTTCTGAGTTTACAAGACATTGAGAGTCAGGGGTTTTTGCCTCCCAATAATAATGCAAACAGTACAGAAAATGACCCTCAGCAGTTGTTACCCAGATCTTCCAACTCCTGTGTCAGTGGCATCAAGAAAGAAGATTCTGCAGGGAAGATTGATGCTGTCACTCATTCATCAACAGGACAGCCCCTGGCTTATATCCCTCAGCCACCACTCAACTGCAAGACTTGTCCAACTCAGATCGAAGTAAAGGGAATGGGAAATCTAATCAGGACAGAGTCTGCACGTATCTCACCAGTGACCTCAACATACTGTCTTTCCCCTTGACAGAAAGAACGACAAAAACAACTAGAACAACAGACAGAAAAGCTGAAAAGAAAGGAAGAGCAACAGAAAATAGAAGAAGAGAAAGAAAAAAAAAGAGGGAGAATGACATGGTATTTAAAGCGTGGTTGCAAAAGAAAAGAGAGCAGGTCTTAGAAATGAGGAGAATTCAGCAAGCAAAGCAAATTGAAGACACGAGCAGTAGAGTAAGCAAAACTTCTCTGAAAAATAAGTTCATACAGATATGAAAGCTGAACTTATTTACAGAAGGGAGTCTGGATATCAGACTAACAGCCTATGAAAGAAGTAGAAAAGTGGTTCAAGAACTACCCTTGCCAAAGATGCAACACGCAGATGACTTTCCAAGCAGGTTCTAAGAGGCCTTGTGAAAAGAAAATGATTCCCATTTTCTTCAGACTTTGATGGAACAGAAAATATAAAAGGTCAATTAATTTTTTCAAGACGTAACTTTGGTATTCAAACAGGACAAAGATACATACACACGCGAAAAAAACCCTACGGACTGGTCTCACTTAAGACTAGACATACAGAAATCTTACGTAAATCTTCAGCAAATTAAAGACACCAAATTATTTAATTTAAAAAGATTTTCAAAATTGAAAATCCAAGAGAAAATTTTAAAAATCATCCATATCCTTACTAAAAAAAAGATATATATGTAAAGTAAAAGTTGAAAATTCAACCCTAAGCTCTTCCAAGCTCATCTCCAGTGATAACCACTTTTAACAGTGTGGTGCAAATCCTTTTCTATCTTATTTATATATTTACATGTCAAAAGTTTCATTATTCAGTTTTTTTCACTTACTTCATCATGGAGATCTTTCTAGGCCATTACATTTAAATCTCTCTTTTCAAACAGCTGCGGGGTATAACAGTGTTAATTTATTAAACCATTCTTCATTTGTAGATGTTTAGGTTGGTTCCAATGTTGCGCTACTTAACAGTGCAGTAGTGAAGATGTACATTCTATGGGAACATCTGTAATCTGTAGGACAGGTTCCTCAGAGGGGAATTTATAATTTTTGAAGGTTTAGAGTGAAATGTTTGGTTAAAGATGCAAAAGTAACTTCCCAAAAGACAATATGAATTTATAGTTCCTCCAACAATATGTGAGAGTGAATGGCTAACACTGCATGTGGTGCATCAACTTATTTTTTTCTTCAAATTAATAATATACCTGCTTGAATATGAGCACGTGTGAGAAATAATAAGAAATAGATATAGGACTCTACCCCTAGTTTTTGGCACAGAGTTCCTAAAAACTTTTTAATTTCTTGAGTGATAGGGGTTCTACATGTATCTCTTGTTCTAATACTTGACCTTTCGTCCTGGCTTCTGACACAGAGCTCCTAATCCTTTGGAACTTCTTAGGTGATAGGACTCTCTTTGTTCTAATGAGATGACTCTTGGCGGACTCCTGAATAGGGGCTGCTTGCCAGAAAGACTAAGCCATGATTAGAAGCTTGGAACTTTCAGTTCTAACTCCTTTGTTGTAGGAAGGGGGAAAGGGCTAGAAATTGAGTTAATAATCTCAATGACTATGTGATGAAACCTTCATAAAAATCCCCGAGCTGCAGGATTTAGAGAGCTTCCAGGGTATGGGAAATGTGGTATTGGGAGGGTGGCCTGCCCCCACGAGGGCATGGAAGCTTCACACCCCTTCCAAATATTTTGCCTTGTGTATCTCTCATCTGTGTCTTTTATCATATTCTTTATTAATAAACTTGTAAGTGTTTTTTCCTGAAAAAAAATTGATCTGCCTAATATTTGGAAACATCCATCTAGTAATCCTTTCTTCAGCCTCAGGAAGCTTCCTCTGACAGCTCTTGTCACCTTAAAGGCTGGTCCCAAAGTCCCTCTGTTGTGTATCTTTAACACAGCCTGTGTACATCTCTAATCGTTGTATTCACCATACTATTTTTATCTTTCTGTCTCTTACATGAGATCGTAAGCAACCTGAGGGCAGGGAATGTTCATTTTTTGTTCCTGGTACCCAGGACAGTGACTGACACAAAACAGATCATAAATGTCTGTTGAATGGTACATGTTGTCTATAGCGAACCTGATAGAAGCCAAAAGAACACAATATTGAATCAAGTTCAGTAAACGCTGTGAAAATGTACTCCAGAGCTACTTTTTGGATCCTAGCTTGAAAAAGTATAAAACCTAGAGGATCTGGGGCAGCGAATTCCAAGCTTCAGAATGCCTATGGTTTCTGAAGTGCAGACTCCTAGCTACTTCCCAGAAATTTGGATTAGGAACATGTGGTGTGAGGCCCTGGAAACTATCATTTTTCAGAGCCCCAAAGCAATTCAGATACACATTTAGTTAGTTTTGGGACTCACTGTTCTTGGATAATTCCATATCCACAGAATATGAGAGCTTGAAAGTACCCTTTTAGTACTTGGATACAACTTTCTCATTTTATAGATGAGGAAACTTGAGCTCAGAGAATTGAAGCACCTTGTTCAGAATCAGACTGGTAGTGGTGATAGCTGAGCCCAGGCTAGAAGCCGGGTGACCTTGTATGTGAAGGGAGAGAAATTGCAATAGGAAAACTCAGATGACGGGACTGGCATGGGGCTTACCTTTCTGGTGTTCATAACAGCTTGATCCAAAGTCAATGACTTTAACAGAGACTTGGCCCTTTTGGTACAGCACTATATTTTCCTAGAGAGAAAAAAAGACATATGTCAAGCTACAGTAATGCTGCCCTAGGCCCTCTGCTTACCTTAATGCTCCCCATCCTTCAGGGCCCAGTTCAAATATGACCACTTCCACGGGCCTCCTCCCACATCCTCTCCAAAATCCCATCATCCTCCCCTCTGACTTCCCAGTTGATCTGCGGTCGGTATTTGTCTTTTGGACCTCATAGTCAGTGCTTTGCAGAGTTTCTTTTGCATATATTTTGTCACTTTCCCCCTATTGATTCTGCAACTCCGGAAGATTGTGACTTAGTTTTTATCTTCTTTGGCACCTAGTTCTAGGCCTTGCTTGCATGGCCTTAGAAATGCCATTGACTGAATTTGTTTGACATTCCCATTAAATGCCCCCCTTGACATACATACTGCCATGACAAGAGAGCACCAAAAAAAAAAAAAAAAAAAGTCAAAGGCAATGCTTTGATTGGAGTTTGTGATTCTTACGCAGCCTAGGGAATCGAATGGGTATTTCCAGAGTGTTTCCACGGCAGGACGGAGGTGGTACTCACGGGCTTGAGATCACAGTGAATGATTTTCTCTACAGAAAGCATTTGCAAGCACTTCAAAACAGAGAGAGTGAAACGCCGAACTATTGACAGACTGAAGCCTTGAAAGTTGTTATTCTTCATCAACTCGTACAAGTTGATTCTGGAAAAGAGAGGGGAAAAGTGATGCCTATGGGTGTAAAAACATATAGAAGGCTGAATTTGAACCTGCCAACAATCTTGTATCACCTGGTTTCCCTCTAGTAGCAGGCAAGCCTCAGGCCAGGAGGCAGGGCTTTCATGCCCTTATAGACTCGGCTGTCCCACTGAATCACGGTGGGCCCAGGGTGAAACCGTGTCAGACTCTCAGATGTCCCCTCATTTCTCATGTGACAAGGCCACTGAAGCACTTTGTTATGCGGGTGGGTTCAGAGGTTGGCCCAAACTTCTGAAATAGTCATAGTTCCTCAGGCCCTTGGGAGGGACCCAGGAAACCCACCGGTCACTCAAACAAGCAGCCACTGCTGCCCGGGCCTAATAAGGGCTGTCTAAGGACATCAGGTTCCTGACAAGTAAGGAAGAAGAGAGTGGGCAGATGGGGGCTGAGGCCAGAGGGAGCCCTTGTTCCTCCCAAAGTGTGGTTGTTTGGTCTCACCTAACTGTTCCCTTGAGAAATGCACGCTCGCTCTTACCAGAGAATCTGAAATTCTCTAGGGTGACAGAAGCCTACTGTATGATATGACATCTACAGACTTACGAATGTTAGAAACTAATATTAATACAATGCATTGGAAGAAGAAACATTTATTTGTGAGCTGCCAGATGAAACCTCTGTGCAAGCTGTGAGATGGGGAGAGAAGGGAAAGAGCATGACCCCAAAATGGCTTTTCAGCAACCTTCTGCTGGTCCCTCCTCATCTTCCATTCCTAAGATCATCTAGCTTTGGTAGTATTTAGCAAGTCACTCATTCTTAATGTTTTCTTAGAGATGGGGGCTTGCTATGTTGTCCACGATGGTCTCAAACTTTTGGACTCAAGTGACCTCCCAACTTGGCCTCCCAAGATGCTGAGATTACAGGTGAGAGTCACCACGCCCAGCCAGAGCCATTCTTTTTTTTTTTTTTTTTTTTTTTGACAGAGTCTTGCTCTGTTGCCCAGGCTGGAGTGCAGTGGTACAATCTCAGCTTACTGCAATCTCTGCCTCCTATGTTCAAGCAATTCTCCTGCCTCTGCCTTCCGAGTAACTGGGATTACAATCACACACCACTACGCCCAGCTATTTTTAGTAGAGATGGGGTTTATAGTAGAGACGTGTTTTTAGTAGAGATGGAGTTTCACCCTTTTGGCCAGGCTGGTCTCGAACTCCTGACCTCAAGTGATCCACCCGCCTCAGCCTCCCAAAGTGCTGGGATTACAGGCGTGAGCCACCACACCCGGCCGCCATTCATTCTTGAGGGCTGCAATGGAGATGTGAGACTTGGCTCTGGCCCCATCCTGACTAGTCAGCTGGGCAACTCCCTCATCTCTCTGGGCTTTGGCTCCCCCTGCACACCCTGGCCCTCTGACCTCCCAGAGCTCTTTTAAGCACAATGACATCCTAACTGTGCACTGGGATTCATGGCCAAGAAAGGCAGACCGAGCTGTCCATTTGGCCACAGAGAAGATAATTTACCTCTGCATATCAGAGACTCGACCACGCTTTGTAATAACCGGAAATGGTGAGGAGAGTGTCACCTTACCTGCTAATTCAAATGTAGCTGGTTCCTAGAGTTTCACCATCAGCAGCGGTGTCCTGGGAGCCCTGAGCTACCAGCTTGCTGAATCCAGTAACACTCAGAGAGCTCAGCCCTGCTTGTTCTCCTTTGCTAAATGCATTCTGGGTTTCTAGTGTTATATAAATTGCATCAGATGGTCTTCCCGGAGAGAAGAATAATCAAATTAGCATGCCCTTGCGATTAGCATGCCTCGTCAGCTCCAATATTCAGCCAGGCCATGCCAATCTATTTAAGTCAGGCTCTGCTCTCTTACCAAAAATATCTGCTCTTGTCCTTATTTACTCAAAATCAAAACCCTTTTCCCACTCTGAGCAGCCAGCTGCCTGTCCCTTTAGGTTTCCGCCTCTGCACGATCAGGCCAGAAAGCCTACGAGTGGGGAATATGATAGCAAACAAAGAAAAGTCCTTTTTGACTATTTTGGTTTAGCTCTTGAGGAAAGAGGCCTTGTTTTGGTCACGTCACCTGGCTCAGTACCCACCCCAGGGAAGTACCTCACGGGGAGGCTGGCAGGTGACAGGCATACCAAGATTGTCTGCTTTCATCCCAGCCTCCTTGCTCCTGGGCCTTCTGCATAACTAAGTGACTGTCATGAACATTCTAGTTATTAAATATTCACACCCAGAAAAATCTAGTGTTCTGACCTCAAACACTATCACTTAGGTAACTTTTCCAGAGGAAATGAGTTAAGAAGAAAAGGCAGCTGACCCCAGGAGCTCAAAGGTGATGCAGAAGTGATTGCGAAAGTAGAAAAAGTCCTTCATATGCACCACATTGTAGGTGTTGTCTTTGTCCTTCTTTCTGAGGGCTTCCAGGATCTTCAACTCCACCAGAGCCTGCTGGTGAAATCTGAGGGGATGGGGAGTGGCAGGCAGGGTGGGAAATGGGGACAGAAACATCAGTGTCAGGTCCCACTGCAGCAGTCAGTCAGCCCCTCCCCATGACCCCAGCAAGACTGTCTAGTGGCAGGAAGCACTAAAAACACCATACTTTCACCTCCTCTTTGCCCCCTCATGAAATCAGACAGGTAGAAAGAGAAAAGGGAAAACAAAAGGGAAGATCGGAGGCTGAGGCAGAGTCAGGAAGGGCTGGCATTCTGCAGGGGCCAGAGTCACACAGTCCCTCTTCTGTGGCCTATGTCATCCCCCAAGCCACACCTCTTCTTGTTCCTGATGATTTTCAGGGCCACCAGCTCATTGTTTTTGTGATCCAAGCACTTGGCCACCTGTCCAAAGGACCCCTTCCCGATCATCTCCAGAACCTCGTAGCGGTAGGCAATGTGATCATGCAGGACCTGTGGAAGCCAGGCCGGAGGTGAAGAGCAAAGCCATGGGCTCCCGGGCCTTCCTGGCATGGGGCCCTGGCATTCCCACCCCCAGATTACGGCTCATTCCTGGAGGAATTTTCTAACTGCACGGGACACTTGTGGGACTCTCGCCCTCATCTCATCGCGACTGCAATGGGGAGCTTGCTGGCTGGATTCTGGGCCACCCACGTGGTGCCAGGGGAAGTCCCACAGGCTTGATCCATGTCAGGCAGCACAAAGAACACTGGATGGTTTTAGGAAACTTGGGATCTAGTCCCAGTATTGTAGTTCCAGTTCTAGTCCTCCAGTTTTCTGCATGTTTCAGGACCTATAAAGTAAGAGGGTTGGACAAAGTGGCCCTGAAAGTCCCTTTCAGTTTGGACATTTTATGAGTCTTGAAGTTAAGCAGCATCTCTGGTTTGGAGAAAGTTTTGTTTCTGACCCCTGATGTGTCTCTATCTATCAGAGAAGGCGTTAGGTCTGCTCTGCCTCTTCCTGGCCAAATTTGATTCTCCTTCGGGCTTACTGGGATTTAATCCTATCCTGGAGTTAGCAGTACAGAACTTGGACCTTTCTTGGTGAAGAGAAATATTTCAAGAGCCAGAATCACCCTTGTCTCTCCCTATGCTGGAAACTAGAGAGCAGGGGGTTCATCAAAACCACAGGACATTTTCTATTAAAAAGACTTCAGCTTTAGACAAGCAATTTATCCATTCTGAGCTGCAGTGCTGTTGTCTGTAAACTGAAGATGCTGGATAAGATTATCTCTAAGGTCCTCAAGCTCTGTGGGTCTCTGATTTCTAGTGTTACACTCATGAGTTTGGGAGAGGTGAAGGATTAAGTGTTTGTGTACAAGTCCTTAGGATGTGTTTGAGAATGTGCGCTGGGGGTCGGTTCATATGGGAGGAATCTAAACTGAATTTGAACACGTACAACTTTCCTGATCTATGGATGTAGGTTAGTCTACTTGTAAGGGTCTGTCATGAGAATGTATGGGAAAAGGACAGGGACAGGATCCACACCCATGTGGCTATAAAATTACATATGTGTTTTCTTAGCATTTGTGCTTGCCTTCTGCATACTACCACTTAGTGTCATCATTGTTCATTCGCATGTCAACTTTGACATTAATTATGGTTACCTGAAAGCAAGAACCATTTTGTATTCATTTGTGATAGCTTCCTTTATATTTCCAGAGTCTAGTAGATGCCCAAGTTTATAATAGATTATCCATACATAGGCATTCAGTTAACATTTGTTGACAAAATAAAGTGAGAATGCAGCTGTGTTGCTTGCTTGGGAATTTGGCTATGTGCAGTATCTATTTGAGTGTGTACTGGAATGCAATAAGGATGGTGATTTTTAGCTTACAGAGAACACACATTATCCCTTTCTTCCCCACAACGCCTTCCCCCACCAAAAAACAAAAAAAAAAACAAAAAAAACAACAGCCTTTTCTAAGATTTGAGACTGAAGAACTGAGTTCCAATGAATTAATTTAAAAGTAGTACTGACACCCTTAGGGAATTCCCTAGAGACCCTAGGCTCAGGTAGGGTGGAGCAGAGGAGGGAGCAGGGAGGGAGGGGTTGAGGAGGTCTCACTGAATCAGAGTTAAGATTTATACTGGAGATTTCCAGCCGGGCGCAGTGGCTCACGCCTGTAATCCCAGCCCTTTGGGAGGCCAAGGCAGATGGATCACCTGAGGTCAGGAGTTTGAGACCAGCCTGACCAACACAGTGAAATCCTGCCTCTACTAAAAATACAAAAATCAGCCAGGCGTGGTGGCAGGTGCCTGTAATCCCTGCTACTCTGGAGGCTGAAGCAAGAGAATCGCCTGAAACCAGGAGGTGGAGGTTGCAGTGAGCTGTTCATACCACTGCACTCCAACCTGGGCAACTCCATCTCAAAAAAATATATATATATATACTTATTGGAGATTCCTAACCAAGGATCCACTATGTGCAGGTTGTCTTTTCTGGGATGAGGACCTATAGCTTTTATCAGGCTCCCAAAGGGATTCTTGACTGAAAATATTGAAAACCCAGGCTCTAGAAGGCACTGTGTGACAGAAACGAAATCCTTGCATCTCAAAGTGTGGTCCGAGGATCAGCAGCACAGGCATCACTTGGAAGCTCAGGCCCTAGCCCCAGACCGGCTGGATAAGAACTTGCATTTTAACAAGATCCTGCAAGTGGTTTGTGTTCATAGTCATGCTAGACAAACATGGCCCTCAATGCTATTAATAAAATCTGCCTCTTCTATGAGCCATCAGGCTCATCTTGTCTCTTAAATCCAGTGGTAATGAAATGTTCTGAAGAGGAAATTCCTGACAGCCCACAGTCTAGTGCACTAAGCGTCACACATCCCAACACGCTCAGCCCTGGGAATCACTGCTCAACTTTCACCTTCTGGCTGGGAAGAGGCACTGCCCTGGGGAAGCCAAGGGCTACAGTCAGAAGAGGAGGAGGAAGAGGAGCTGTTGGGATCAATTTTTTAAAAGCAGAATGAAATTAAGCTCTATGCACCAGGGACTACAGTGACAAAAGCTTTTTTGTCTCTGGGGGAAATGGCATCTATTATAAGATAGAAAAGAGTCCATGTATGGGCTTGTATTGAGGAGACAAAAAAGGAAATGTTGGGAAAACTGCTCCTTATTTCAGTCTGGCCTTTCCCAGTGGGCTATGCAGGGAAGGAGCCTGTGGGAGCTCACCCAGGATGCAAACTAGCTACCCCAAGTACGCTTGGGGGAAAGTCAGTCTTCCATTAGTACAGTATTTTACATACTAAATTGCATGTTTCCCCATTTTCAAGCATGGTATTTCTTTGGCTTGGCACTACCAGAATACTTCAGGACATCTAGTCTCCAACATATCAGCACCAAATACTACAAAATACCCCTGCTTTTTTCCTTTCTAGACTACCTGTTGTCCCCAGGCCCCTGGAGGTTCCCATGGCCCCCACCCCCAATCACCTTCAGATAGGAGCCTTGCTCATCATCAAAACTTGTCTTGCTAAATTTCTCAGGAGCCAGATCGAGCTTCTTGGCTTCAAGCCCCAGGAACCACAGCTCCGTGTAGCCCAGGATTTCACTTTGCTCATATGGAGACAGCTGATTCTTAAAAAGCTTTAGGGCCTCTGTGAAAAACACTACAATTGTGAGTTAAGTTGAGGTAGCATAGGATTCGCCCAGGATGCAGACGATGGCATCCTTCCAGGTCACGAGCCATCAGCCTGTTTCCCAGCTGGGTGGCTCACTGAGGACCATGCATCTGGCATCTCACAAGATGGAAGTATGACAAAGATAAATGTCAAGGTCTTGCATTTATGTCAACAAATCAAGAAAAGAACACAAGGACAGGGAAAGGCAGAGCTCAGTCCCCATACACCTGGGGGTTAGAGCAGCATGGGTAAAAATTCCAGGAGTAAAATTAGTGTCAACAATAGTATATCGTTTAGGTGGCAAGTTGGCCAAGTTAATCTGGAATGAAGCTACAATTAGTTGAAAGGCTTTGAAGACTGTAATGTCTGCAGGACCAGAGAGGTAACATAAAGGCAACATTAAAGGCCCAGGAGGCTTCACGCTCAAATCTGCAGCTGAATCAGGAAGGACCTCAGATTGCAAGGAGAGATTATGAGTTAGGACTTTTCTACACTGGCCAGATCACATCGGCGCTCTGGTGCGTGGTCAGGGGTAAAATTCACAGTAATTGATAAACTACAGCATTCTCAGAGAAAGGAAACTAGGATCAGGACGGGGACACCATATTATTTGACAGACTGCTGAAGCGTTGGAGAGGGAACTGCAAGGAAAAAGAAAAAGACTTACAGGGGACAAGACTTCTGTTTTCACATAAGTGAAGGGCAGTCGTGTATACGCTGAACAAGGCACGTTCTTTGCCCAGAGGACAGAACCAAGGCATAAGATAGCAGGGGGCAGACGGCAGCTCTGTAAAGGCAGAACCAGCTCAGGACTGAAATAACCTCTTCGTGCATAGTTCCCGGAGTTGTTGAAGAACAACAAGCACCACTTTCAGTTTCTAGGTTGTGGAAGAAGAGCTGTAAAGCCTCTGAGGACGGCACCCATCGTGGATGCTTGGTGGGTTTGGGTGGTCTTCCTTTGCGTCCTAATAGGTTATGAGTCTCCGAACCCCGTTAGAAGTCTAGCCACTGGCCAAAAACCCATGTGCAATCTTTCAGGCCTGACCACAAGGCAGTCCACAAAGGCTTCACCTGGCAAGCCTCATGGGTAAAGATGCCTCCCTGCACCACAGCCGGTGCACTGCAGTCTCTGGAGGAAGCTACAGCCAAGGATGGAGACCCCTGGCTGGCCATCCTCTTCTACATATCTGCATTTCTAACCAATATCCCCCCCAGAGGCTCCTCTCCAACACCTCCTTACCAAGAGGAAAGAGCTTCAACACCCTTTGCTCTGCTCTCTGTATTCAGTACCTTTCCACCCCTAGCTCTTCCACTCTCTCAATGCCTTCCACCTGGCCCCTGGGTCCATAAAATGACAGGAGCCTTCTGTCTGGCTCCTTAGGCAAATGAGACACTTCCTTCTGTCTGCACGGGCACATCCCGCCCTTGCCCAGAGTCACTCCATGGGGGAACACTCAGCCTCCTATTCAGCGTCTTGCTTATACTACCACAGTCAGAGGTTCGACGCTTCACTTCTGCTTTCCTCATGGTTTGCTGCCTTCACTGACGACTCTGACACCTGGCAGCTTAGCTCACTCCAGCGCAGCTGAGCTCTTGACACCCTGACCTTCCATAACCACCTCCAAACCCTGCTACTGCCCCAAAGGCATACCTGCCGCTGTCAGAGGCACCTTGTGCTTCTTTGGTGACTTCTCCCCTGCCTTGGGATCCTGGGTTTTAATGCTAGGGTGCAAAGGTATTTCTGAAGCCTTGAGCTCTGAGGCCGGCATCTGATTGTGAGCTTGATTCTCCTGTCCAGGAAAAGAGGTTTGCAATAAATAACTACTTAAGACTCTCCCGGGGGACATAACCGTTTATTTAACCAAAGACACCCACCTCCAGCCAGGCTATTTACCTATCTCTCCAGGGAGAAAACAGCAACTAAGAGA